AGCCGAGCCCCTCGGGAAGAACGTCCAGGGAGTCAGTAGAGGCTGGGAGCTTGACTGCCCCAGGGCACCCCGCCCAGCCCAGGCCTCGGGCTGGGCCGGCCACCCTGTCTGGCCTCCTGCCCTGCCCACGCTCTGAAACCTCTCTCGCTTTCCACCCAGCCGGTGCGCTGCGAGCTCCTGCACAGTCCACACGGCAGCCTCCACCCGAGTGCCTTCCGCGCCACCGCTGACAATGACCTGCAGGGCAGCTGCTTCGATTATGTTTTTAGCCGCAAATACTAATTGCCTGTATGTGTGGGTAGGGTGTGTTTGATACGGCCTCCAACGTGGAACGATTAAGCCCAGCTAACGAACACGTCTATCCCCTCACGTCACTTCTCTGTGCAGGGACATCTGAAACGTGCCCGTGGCGATTCAGGAGCACACAACACGTTTTGGTGACCGCTGTCACCGCGCCAAAGCGCAGATTGTGAAACCAGGCCTGGGATCGGGCTTCTGGGAGAAGGCCGAGGAGACCAGCTTGCCCTGAACAGCACCTGGCTCTGTGGACTCCCAGAGTGGCTTAAACATCGCGTGGCCTCGCGCCCTCACCACGCAAACCTCGCACCGAGGCCCGGGGCCTGGGCCTGCCCAGAGGAGGGCTGCGCTGTGGCTGTCCCCTGCAGCTTTGCAAGAGCATTTACACAGCTGTGGGAGGCTGGCTTTGTAACCGAATCACTGGGCTCCTGAGCCCGCCCAACACCACACCGTTTCCCTGTGAACCTGGAGCGCCTTGGGCGGAAGCGGAGCCCGAGCAGGAGAAGCAGAGTGACCTGGGAGGAGACCCCAGGTAAAAGGGAGGGGACCCCAGGTAAAGGGGAGGGGACCCAGGTAAAAGGAGGACCCCAGGTAAAGGGGAGGAGGAAGGGACTCCAGCTAAAGGGAGGGGACCCCAGGTAAAGGAGGAGGATTGGCTTCCAGAGGTGTCTGGCAGCCCCTCCACAAGGATTGCTGTTCTGCCATGAAATCATCGGGGCCAAATATGATGTCCCCTCTCCCCTCCCCTACCCCCCACTTCGTGAGAGGGGACAAGGGGTGGGAAGGTCACACGGGTCTCTGCGCTCTCCCTCGTTTGCTCCCTCTTAGGTTTAGAGCAGCAGCGTTGCAGCTTCTCGGGTAGAAGACAAACGTTCTCAGGAAAGAGTCTGCGAGAGTTCAACTCGGCTTTTGGCAGGCGGAGAAGATCACTCACATACTGACATTTCAGTCATCAGAGAGCTTTATTGGTGAGAATTATTATATGTACGTTTATCAGCATTTGCAGATTAGCATTTTTAGACAGCGGATTCCACAACCGCTGATAGGCGAAAAGTTCCGGGCTAGGACGTGGCCGGGCGCAGAGCTCCAGCCCTCCAACCTCTAATTCAGTTCTCTTTGCGTTATAGAATCTGCACCTGGTTTGTTGTTCTTTTGTTTTATTTTATTTTATTCAGAATATTATGGGGTATACATACACCTTGGTTGTATGACAGGGCCCCAAAATTGAGGAGAGACAGGGCCCCTGGCCCCTCCCCCGCTGTCCCCTTTGACCCCACAAAGCCTGAGCCACAGGTGGAGCCCCGTGGCTAAATAAAGCCCTGGGGGAAGGAAAAACAAGGCTCCCCTCAGTGCTCTTGTCTGGGCAGAGATGACACCCAGGAGTGGCCAAGCCTCCAGGCCCGGCCACAGCTATCCCAGCTCCCAGGCACTTTCTCGCAGAGAAGTGAGATACAGACAGTCAATTGGGGCACACTGTTAAAGCAAACCCCGCCCCCACAGAATGGATGTCAAAGCCCGGGGACAGGAATGTCACATTCCAGAACGAAAGCGGCATGGGCCCACGGCCTGGCCCGAGCTGCCCCTCCCACGGCAGCTGAATCGGATCGCAGGCAGGCGCCTGCTTCACATGCTGCAGCGATGATGAATGTATCAAAATATTAGCATCAAATCCTTGGGGACTATATTTGCAGTGCCATGTAAACTGCTTCAGGGAGCAAACTGTCCTGCTGTGACTTCATATTAATCTCTGGCTTCTGGCTGGTCACGGGGTGTCACATGCACTATAATTAGATGTTGGACATGTGCACAGAGAGAGGGGGACGGTGTAATGAAGGTAACCTGTCAGGTGCCCAGCTGCATCCTTTGGAAAGAGGCGGACACGCACACCCTCCCATGGCCCTCACCCCGCTCTTCAAGGGCAGAGGCACCGGGCACGGTCGCTGCAGGGACCCCAGAGCTGCTGTCGTGCACCCCTCTCCCCGGGGAACCTGTTTTCCACACCCAAATCAATCCCACAAGGTTGTTAGCTCACGATGCCCATCTGGGCGACGTTCGGAGAAAGACACGCAGGGCACTTAGAAACTTAGACTTTGCATTTGGGGATACAGAATCCTGTCTTCGAGACCAGGAGCTATGAGGAAGAAAGGAACGAAACTGCTTTCTGGGAAAGGCAGGGCGGCTCAATGGCTCACACCTGTGTCTGTGCACCAGCTCTGCACAGCCATGGGGCTGCCCACCCGCCCACACCCCCGAAGCCCTGAAAGCCCTCCACGCTCTCTCCCACCCGTGAAGACTAAATTGCAGAGAAGCGTGTAGCGAGTGAGAGAAGGAGCAGGGAGCAGGGAAAGGCTCGCATCACTTAGGGCCTGCATGGCCGCGTGCAGCCCGGCTGTCCCCAGGGCGAGGTGGCCCCATGGCCCCGGGAGCGGTGGGCGCCGGGCAGCCAGGGCCAGGCCCCTCCGACTACAGGCGGGATTCCTCTCCTCCTGCCAGCAGAAGAGGAAACACAAAGTGAGGACTAATGGTGGGAGAAACAGTAGCAAACCCAGGAGCACCTCCCTCCCCAGGCAAAGTCTCCCATACTTGCAGAGAGAGAGAGAGAGAGAGAGAGAGAGAGAGGGAGAGGGAGAATTTGGACAAAGAAAGGAAAAGTGACCTGGCCGGGTCCCTGGCGTTCTCCGAGAATTGCGGGGACGGAAATCTGAAGCAGAACAACAAAGAGCTGACATAATTGCCGAGATGAGGCTTAGGCTGGGGGGATTATCTTTTCGGTATTAAAAGAAGCTGATAAGGTTTTTCCTCCTTCATAAGGATTATTACAAGAGCCATTGCTAAAGTCTGTTATTTTACAGGGAATAAAAAATGGGTTTTGAACATGCTCGTCAGATTGTAGGGCTAAATCTCTTGAGCGTATGACTGGAACTTCTGTTGGAACGACATTTTTATTCATTCAGGAAGCATTTATTAAACGCTTGCTAAGAATAGCGCGCGAGACGGAGGCCCGTGGGCCCTCGGAGTGCTTCCCCGCGGAGGGAAAACGGGACAGTCGCAGCGGGTCGTGGCACAGGGCGGAGAGAGCAGAGCCGAGCGTTCTTTGGGGACAGCGAGGGGGCTTGTCCTGTGAGCCCCACCCTCAGGGCCTTCTGGAGCCCGCTGGGGAGGGGTGGCCGCCCAGGGGTGAGGAGGCCGTGCCTTCCAGGACCAAGTGTCCTGCTCGGCGGGCCCGGGGTGGCCGCCCGCCCAGCCACGAGCTTGATGGGACAGGATGTGGACAGGTCACTGAGAACCTCCAGTGACAGCTCAGTCGCTGGGATTTAACGGAAGCATGAAGGCTGCAGGAGAATTTTCCAGAGAAAGCCCCCAATATGTGCTAAGGTGATGTAGGGATCAAACGAAGTGTTAAAGTGAAGAGAATTAGATTTATTGACTACAAAAACAATTGCAGCTGCCTTGCATTTCCTCGATTCAGAATAAAAGTCTTTTTTTTTTTGAAAAAAATCTAATTCACTGTCTTTTCAAAGTCCAAGTAAGTTGGAATTCGGGTGTCCAAATGTAGCCAAAGAAAACAGAGGATGCCCAATTCGATTTGAACTTCAGATAAGCGGCGAATAATCTTTTAGTAGACGTGTATCCCAAATATTGCCGGGACAGTCTGTATTTGTTTCTGGAAACCCAACTTGGAAGCAGCAGGGAGGAGCTAGACATCACCAAGGATTCCAGGACTGGTGGAACTCGCTGCATTTGACTAACAGGAGAGCCTGGGGGGGCACAGCTGCTGGGTGCCTAGAAAGAATTGTCCCTTCTTTTGATATTTGTCATGTTTAAAATCACCAGACAGAAGCTTTCTATGTGAGGGAATCAAATGCGTTTTCAGAGTAGAGGCTATTTCTGTAATGGGAAGAAACGAGTATCTAATAAATATGCTTAATAATGTTTGTAGATTAGATTTCAATAAAGTATGTGTAGATTGCATTTTCTTAAGGGGGCTCTCTTTTTTTTTTTTTTGGAAGGAAAGCATTGGAACAGTAAGTCTGTGCAGTCCTGAATGGGGTTACTTGTGGAGTGGCTGGGAAATCCTGACAGCACCTTTCTGGAAGCTTTGGCTGGAATCTGCCTGGGCCCAGAAGCACAGACAGCATGTTTCTGTCCTGCCCCATTATTCTGCAGAGGAAATGAGCCGGGTGTTTTCTGACCCAGAATCAGCAGGGTTAAAGTAGAATTTACAAACCACTTCAGGACGCAGCATTGAGATGGAAGACTTAGGATTGGAGAATTAATTTTATCTTCCTCCTGAGTAAAGAAGCTCTTTCCCTAAAGCCGAGAATCTTTGCAGAATGAGTGCACTGAATGAAAGCAGTCCGGTAAGCACTGCATGACCCTAATAATTCTGACCACTTCAGACTACGTTTTGCAGTGGCCGAAATTAAATAGGAGAGCATTCACGTGACACGGCACTCCTGAGAGCAAAGCTGGAGTTACGCCAATCAAACCATCCTCCCTGGGGGAAAAACTTGGGGCATTCTCTTCTAGAAGCTAATGAAAATAGGACAGTCCTTGAATTCTGGACTAAGAATTGTTTCCTCCATTTAAGCCTTTTAGTTGATTCAATAAGTAGTAACTGGCTGCAGAGAAATCACAAGATCTGGATTAGATAAGAACTCTTGTTTATTGAAATGTAATTTAAACAATCAGAACCCTGTGAATATTTCAAACTATAAATCCTGCAAAATTTGAATTTTCTCATGAGATTTTATATGTTTTCTAGTAAATAACCCCATTACCCAGTCACACTTACAAAGTGATTGTGCACCTGTGTATAACCCCAGATGAACACTTTAAAAGTTGAAATACCACAATAGTAGTAAGACTAATAAGATCTTAACGATTTCCTTTTCAAACATTCTTTCATTTTATGAGAAGAGCTTGATCCCATAACACTTGCATGAGACCAGTTCCCTTTTTTCTACCCAAATCAATACTTTATTTGCCTATTTATCTAAGATGCAAATAATTCTTGCCTTATTTTCAAAAACTGTTAATTGTTAAAAAAAAAAAAACATGTCCATAAAATCTAAGGAAAAATAGTCTTTGTAAAGTATGGATGAACCTAAGTCTAAACAAATATGTTACTATTTATTGATAAAGACAGCACACAAAAAATTAACAAAGACTCAAATGCATAATAAATATACACCGACTATACAAGCACAAAGCGCTGTGTTCCCTCAGCATTAAAAACAGTAAATAATATTGATAAGAAATAGTCTTTCTTCAGTTTTATGTACTGTGGTATAATTAGAATAAAACTGAAGTAAAACATTCTTCAAAACAGAACGCTTAGAAAAATGAGTGAACATCAGTGGATTTCATAAACTGACAGTCTCCGAAACATTCTTCCAAAATGTTAATAAATGTGCCACAAACTAAAGATGCGTGGTCAGACAAGTTTAGGGAAGTTCTCTGTGTTTGTTGAAATGCTCTTTTCATATCAAGGCACTGAGAAGTTCTGCAACAAAGAAATCATATTTAATTATATTGATTCACCATTTCCAAATTTTACTTGAGGATAAGACATCTTTTTTTTTTTTTTCCCTGCATATCTTCTATCAACCTAAAGGATAATTTCTCAAAAAATTCTGATTTGAGAAACAATTGCTAATTTAAAGTTTGGCCTTTCTTACTCAAACTTTTGAAAGAAAAGGAATTGCTATTGAAAAAATAATTTGAGATCATATTGACTCATACTGTCAGTCAAAAGCATTCTATTCACTTTTTTTAACATAACTGGTTATGTTCCAGGCTCCTGGTTTCCCGGCTTTGGGGAGTGACCTGTTTCCAGTGGAAATCCGGGTCCTCAGAGCTTCCAGCAGGGGGCTCTGTCCGCTAGCGCTGACTGTGAAGGACTTGAAAGATGGTTCAAGGTTAAGATGGCTCAACAAATAACAAGCTAGAAATGTCATCTGGCCCAGTAGGACACAGTATTACAAAAGTGTAATCATGGTTCAAGAATGTTGCCATTAGAAAAATCTGTGCTCAGAATTTTATTATTAGGTTTTATCATGTGTGCAATTTCAAATACAGTAAGAGAACCCAAAGGGAGGAAATATACATATATATCTCAGAAACCAGAGTTTTTTTAATAAAATAATTATCAAATTGTAGGGCTCATGATGAAAATATTAAAAGGACATAAAAGTTTCCCCGACATGGTTGACAGGTCAAGTATGCCGATTTTCTATCAAAAATAGTGCAGAGAAACAAAAATGTAAGAGTGAAGTTGAAAATAAATGGAAATAAATTACTTCCACTGGGATGAGGGGCAAATATAACTCTTCAAAAACAATATCTGTAAATGGGGGAAGCACATTATCTTGAGGAAGCTGTATTTTGGTGTTTATATCCATAATCTGAATTATTTTTTTCTTAAACCCTTTCTCCTATGTCCTCCACCTATGCCTCCCCCAAAAGGAACCAAACCAAAACAAAAAAGTATTATAGAATACTTACAAATTGGATTGTAAAGAAATGAGAATACTTGGTTCAAAGTGAAAGCAGCGACACTTTGGCCAGAATAGTTGGAAAGATGACAAGTAAAGTAGCCAGGCAAGAAGATCAAAGTTGCAAAATAGGCTTCATTGGCACACACGACTTCTTGCTCCTGCTTTAGTTGCAGGGCATGGTGGCTTCTTGAAGGTACACGTATTCCCACTGGGAAAGAAATGTGCAGCATGACAGGTGCAAGTGGCTAATAAATTATGGCATTTGCAAGAGAGTGGAACAATTTATTCCCTCCCAAGCCTTAGGAGACTTGACGTGTAATGCACACACACACAACCTCATGAAGAAGACAGCCAATCCTTTGCCATTCTTTTATTGAAATTGCCATAACTATCCTTCTAAATAAAACAAATAGACCATACTCTTAATTTTCACACGATTGTGTGTTGATGATTCTGAGAACACGATTGCTTTTATCATATGTTTTAATCTCCTTAAAAATCAACGTGAAGACTACATTCCTACGCAGACCATACTTTGTTCACTTACTCTTTATTTTCGCCGAGGAAAGTGGCTGCCGGCACGTGTGGGAGGTGTGCACTGCGAACTCCCTGCGTGCGGGGGCGGCTTTCAGGGGGATACCATGTAGAGTAAGTAAATAACACCAAGCATTTCCCTGCGAAGGGAACATTCGCTCACACGGGTTCTCAGCCCTGTCTTTTCACTGGGCAAAGTGACTTCAGGGGAGACAAGCAGAGGAGCCTCCCTCCTCTGGACACACTGGCTCAGGCGGGCTCTGAGGGCCCCGTGGAGCTGGGGCTGTTTCCAGCAGCTAACAGTCAGGATCTGGGCGGAACAGCAGCACCCCGAGGGAGGGGAGAGGCCAGCAACGGGCCCACTCTCGGAGAACACCTGCCTCGCCCCAGTCCCACAGCTGACCGAACCCAGCCTGCAGGGCCTGGACACCAAACGGCATTCTCTGGAGTATGTGTCACAGAGTTAACGGAAAGTAAGAGCTAAGACCAAATCAAATAATCGTTTCATAGAATCAGAACCAGCCTGGGATTTTCAAATTGAAAGTGCCCCAAATACCAGCCAGAAACAGAAGTTTGCTGGCAAATACGTAACAACTGACTGCTTCCGGGAAGAAAGCCCCCATGTGCAGGATTTGCCAATTTCCGTGGTGTAAATGCTGCCACCACGGCCAGCTGCGAGCCACACCGACATACAGTCACTGGGCGCAGCACTGGGAAGAAATACACGCAAACAGAGAAGGGTCTTTGCACGACCCCTGGCCTAACACGGAGACTCCCGGGGCCCAGGGCAGCTAAGTGGAGGCAGGTCCAGGCTGGCAAGCAGGCTCCCAGACTCCGAGTCCAGGACGCTCCATTAAAACACGAAAACAATCTGGTTTAGGACGCCTTGGCCCACATTGGAATTGCTTCTCTTTGTCATGTACTAGCAGTGGTTCAGAGCACATATCTAGAAGGCATTTTGATAGTGGTTAAGCAAAACGATAAGCAAAACAATCTTATATTTAAAAAGTAGTTTCAACTCTCTTAAAAATGATTTTTCTGTGGCAAACTGCACACGCTCGTTCAATCATTTCTACAAGGATTTTCCAGCCGGCGTCTTCAGGAGCATGAAAAAGAGCGGCTGCACATTATTGGGCATAATCTGGCCGATGTGTACTCAGTACATTTTCAACTCAAATTTTTATGTCCCTTCTTCCACCCTACCCGCCCAGTTGCTTGATTTGTGACTTCACCTCTCCCTTCCCCCAGTTTGTTTTCGCTGCGTTGTGGTGCCCGAATCAGAGCGTTTACACGGGAAAGGAACGGGAGGAACGCAGGGCTGAGCGAGGGTCCGGCCGGACGGCGAGGCCTGTTCCGGCCCCGGTTCAATGTTCCCCCAAACCACGCTTTGGTCCAAGGAATCTCCCTGCGATTCTATCCTCTCATCTCTTACTCCAAGTAAAAATGAAATTTCTTCTTATGACCAAACGTTATAAAGCTCTTACACGGCCATATGAACTTCAAAGCATTTAAATTTCTTACGGATTTTATAGGATTAAACGTGTGGCCTACTGAATACTTAATGTGAGGGTAAAGAAAGGTGTGCTGTTGAAAAAGACATTTATCATGGCTCTAAAGTACGATATCAAACCATTGGTTTGGGCCAGTAAGATCTTGATCATACACTATTATTTTTTAAGTTTTAATCAAAGGTCACCAATGACATGAAAATTTATAAAAAAAACAAAAAACCTCCAAATAATGAGCATCTTAGATGAGTAAAGCTAAAAATAGCTCAAATTCCCAATTCACCATTTTACTGTTCATGTTGTTTCTCTTTATTTCATTACTTCAAACAGAGGGGTGAGTGGAAATAATTCAGTTATTTGTATCTTTGTGCCTCTGAGGCTGTCCTGTACTATTGAACACATTTTTTGCTTGGAAAAAAATCTCTCGAGTTGCAAACGTTCTGAGGATGCCAAATGATTTATTACTTTTTTTCAGTTTGACTATAAGGTAAAGATATAGACCGATTTTGTGAATTTTAACAATGTCACTCCGAATAAAATACAAACATGATAAGAGCCCAAAAGATTTTGCATAATCAATGTGCTACACTCAATAGCTACAAGAAAGTGAGAAATTAGTCACCAAAAGGGAGAAACGAACTCTATAAAAACACAAAATAAAGAATGCAACAAACCAAGCGCTAAGTAAGGGATTAGTAAAAAAATAATTATATATGAAGACTATTTTCAAAGGAAACAAAAGAATCAGGACCTTAACCAGATAGGTACTTAAAGAGGAAAGGGGAACATTAAAATTAGATAATGAGATGAGTGTATTTGGGAAACACTATTGTTTTAGTCATTATTTGTTTTAAGTAAAATTTGAAATGATAGTAAAAATACAAATGTCTTTCCAGGCAACTAACTGTCACAAATGAAGTGTGTGGTACCAGGGTATCAAACTATACTAACTTGAAGAACTTTCCAACATTCTGCAAAAACATTATCAAAAAAAAAAAAAAAGAAAGAAAAGAAAAGAAACCTAAAAGCAAACACCAAGAGACAAGTGAGTGCCATGTTGCTTCGGTTCAGAGGAAGGAAGGGTGGGAAGGTCACTGCCTTTTGGACCGTGTGCAGTGCTCGGGGTCAGCTCGTGTGGAAACGCACTCGGATGGCCCTGTTCCCTTCAGTGTCTACACCTGACAATAATAAACCCAACACAAGGAGCTCTGCCCACATGGGTTTCCCTCGTCTGTCTTAAGTGCATAAGACAAATAGCACATCTTTAAAGGCTCATTGTGAGATGAACAAATGTTAACAAAGGAAACATCACCGACCAGAGGTGTTGAAAAATAACCTGGCAGCTGGCCGAGCAGCTTCCTTTTATTCAACATTTCTGAATGCCTGACAGTTTTATATAAATGCAATTTTTGAAAACACAATTCTGAAGGGTAAAAAATATATATATTTCAAATAATGGTTGATGGTAAGTTGTTGTAGTTGTTGGGTATGACAAAATGACCACAAAAATCTTAAAAATTCAAACAAATGGAAAACAGAATGCAAAGTAACCAACGAGAGCACGTACCCACGTGTGTGTGGGGGCGGTGCTGGGACTGAGGGGTACCGGGCAGTCAGGACGGGCACTGAACAGCCGCTGTGAAGGTTAAGCATGGATTGACTCAACCAAGATTAAAGCTTGGTGAGATGTGTAACCAGCTCACAGCAGGTCGATCAGGAAAGGCAGAAAGATATGCATGAATTCTAGGGTTAAGGTAAACATGTATGACCTCAGAAAAATCCTAGATATTATTCTCTCAACCCAGTGTTTGGGAATTAAAAAATGGTAGAGGACCATGGCTTTGGTTTTACGCACTAGTGAAAGGAAAGACAGATTCGATAGAGTATGTGGCTAGACTACCTGGGTCTGGATCTCCTAAAGTCAACTGGGCTATATACAATGTTTTCTGATGTTGCCACGGTGATAATGTGTTCATGGATACAACAGCCTCCAAACCAGCCTCCCCTGCCTCAACGATTTCCTTTCCAGTCCCTGTCCATCCTGCCAAAACAGAAACTCTGATGTGCCACCCCTCCACTTAAGCACCTAAGAGGGCTCCAGCCTTCAATCTATCTACAGGTGTAAATACGACCACACAGGTATTTACCAGCTGGCCCATCTGCTGTTCCAGGCTCCCCGTGCTCCACTCACACAGAAGTCCCAGCAGTTCCGTGGCCACCCCTTGGGCTCCCACCCTTGCACCTGATTGGTTGCATCTCCTTGGAGAACTTTCTTCCCACCTTCTGTATAAAGCACCTTCCATCTTCCATGAGTCACCTTCTACATGTCATCTCCTCAATCCACTGTCTCTGGCAGAATTAATTCCATCTCTACTTATACAGAAAGGATAGACACAGAGTTTAGAGGCATCATACTGTTCTAAAGCTTAGAATATGTTTGTATTATAGTTAGTAGGTGTCTGTTTCCAGTAAAACTGGAGTCTCTTGAGGATACGGGCAATTCTCATTTCTTTTGGAACCCAACAGCTCACACACAGTAAGTAACCAGTCAGCTCTTGTTAATTGAGTAAATGGAGTTTTACAGGTTTACATGTGTAATTGTTTAAGGTTAGTGTTTTACATTTGCAGATTTAAACAAAGGACATGCATAATAACCCTTAGAATCTCTCAGCGATCTGGGAGCCATGTCTGCCAAAGGGCAGACCCAGAGATGTGACATTTTTTCAAAGAGTTCTAAACACTCTTCCTTTCTGAACTTCCTTTCTGTACGCAGGATAATACATCAACAAGACTTGCATTAGCAAAACTTTTCTTTGTAATATTCATAGCATAGTCATTGTTCCTGTGCTCATTTTTTACATGAGAAAACGTTAGCACATAAAAGCTACACTAATTTACCAGCCTTCCTTGGTGAATTAACAACAGAGCCACAGCCGAGCCAAGATTTACTGAATCCCCATGTTAATCTCAGTCCATTGAGCCATCCATCCTGTGGCCCGGTCAAGCTAGACTCAAGGAAGAATGGGTTGAAACACCACTTCCCCTGGGACGCCACTAATCGTGGCCAGGGTATGGTTTGAATTGACTGCTTTCCTGTAGGGGCGGTGAGTCAACAAAAACCTGTTCCTGTTCTCACTATAATGTCTCACTAATTTGAATCAAGCAC